AAAAAGAGGAAATAGTATGCTTCAATCTGCATTCAAATGCTGAAGTTCTTTCTCTGGATGTGCATAGCATTCTCTATCATGAGTCTTTTGGAATTGTCTTAGAGCCTTGCACTGCTGAGAAGAGCTAAGTCTATCAAAGTTTGTCATCTCACAATGTTACTGTTTACTGTGTACAATGTTCTCCTGGTTCTGCTCACTTCACTCAGCATCAGTTCATCCAAGTCTTTCCAGGTTTTTCTGAAATCTGCCTGCTTCTCATTTCTTATAGCACAATAGTTTTCTATCATGTTCACATACCACAACTTGTTCAACCATTCCCCAATTGATGGGCAGTCCCTCAATTTCCAATTCTTAGCCACCACAAAAAAGAGCTGCTATAAATATTTTTGTACATATGGGTGCTTTTCCCATTTTTATGATCTCTTTGGGATAGTAGTGCTATTGCTGGATCAAAGGGTATGCACAGTTTTATAGCTCTTTTAGTATAGTTCCAAATTGCTCTCCAGAATGGTTGGATCACTTCACAACTCCACCAACAATGCATTAGTGTTCCAATTTTCCCACATTTTCTCCAGCAATGACCATTTCCCTTTGCCAATCCGATAAGTGTAAGGTGGTACCTCAGAGTTGTTTCAATTTGCAAAACTTGCTACGTTTCTTCTAAAAGAAACTGACAGGACATATCATAATATTAGTTTTGAATTTTCATTAAACTTAGACCTTGGCTATAATTTAGTAAAATGATATGTTAATGTGAATTAATATTAATATTTTGTGGGGTTTTGAGACTGTTAATGTTTACTATTAATAAGTGCAATAAATTATATGAAATCAAAAAAGGAAGTCAAAAATCATTCCTTCTGAGAAGGGTCATAGTCTTCATAGTGTCTAGACCGTTTTGCATTTGTCTTTTAGAGTGGTTCCATATTAGTTACATTTGTAACGTATGTTGCCTGCCCTCACCTTAAATTTGTGTCTCAAAGCTAACTCAGATTCAGGGCACACTTTGGGGTAATATCTACCCAAAGCCACAGCTTTCTATTCCTCTCTAACATTTATCTTTCACCAGACCAAAACAGAGGACACATTAGTTAAAGACAAAAGACATTTAATTAAATAGCTCTTCAAGGCAAATAATGAGGAAAATCCTCACTCCACCTACTCATACTCACAGGAACACACTAACCTACACATTAGTAGGAAAGTGAACAAGTGTAGGGAATATGTCAGTATAGCTCATACTCCCAGGGCCGTGTCCTAGCTTGAACCCTTCCCGTCTCCTGAAACCACTTTTGACGTTATTAACTACTGATCTCCTGATGTGGTATACAGATACTTTTTTTCTCTTTGGCTGTGATCTGCTGGTTCTTCAATGAATCGCACCTTCCATGAAGGGCCTTCCTCACAAGGAAGTAGATACAACTGGTTTTTTTGTTTGTTTGTTTTTTACATCTAACCAACAGGTTTAGGCTATTCTACCTCTTTGTAAATCAGATCCACTAAGTCACCAAAAAACCTTTAGATTGATTTTTTAAAACTACTTTATTTCCTCTCAAATGCAATTCCTTCAAGTCTAGTAGCCATTTGGGTTAGGATGAGAAAAATTCTGTTTAACAGCCAGAATTCTCCTACTTGCCATGGGTCCATGCAAATTACCCTAGAGCATCACTTAGCAAAACTGAAGGAGAGTAGGGTGGAGTAAGTGACCTTTATGCCTGCTTTCCTGCTGGCATGAAGTTTATTGCTTTCCTCCATAAGTGTTTTCATAAACTAATCTTATTTCATTATATGCCTTAGCAAGTCACAGTAATGCAGATGAATTTTTTTCCCCTATCAAACAGGGAAATGTAAATAGTTTACAGGAATTTCATTCCCTAATTAATGTTTTTGTTTGTAAAATGAGTCAGAGGGTAAATTTTAAAGGTTATGAGAGTCTGGTTTCAAATTCTATGCTTCAGGGAAATACTCATACATTCAAATTGATTTAGCTTACTTTGGTGTGACAATTCCTCCTTGGCTTCTTATTTAAGCAGTATGACCAACTCAAGCCATTATTCCAGTTCTTCCTCAACTGACTAGAGCCGAATATAGACCAAGGTTCTACATCTTCCCATGAGAAAACAGAAGAGATACCCTTTCCTGAGTACAATACTTTTGGCACAGACTTCAAGAAAGGAACCCAAACTGATGTCCTACATTAAAAAAAAAAAGAACAATATTCCTGGAGATTTCCTGAAGTGGATATAAGTTTTTTTATTAAAACAACAACAACAACAACAACAACAACAACAAAATAAAACAAAACATTTGCAAGGCATCTTTGATGCAATTGTCCTAGCAATGTGGCTAAGAAAAGGAACCAGCAGTGCATTGCTGGTCTTGACTATTTTAGATTAGGTAGACTGCTTTCAACGGAAGGGCAAGTCAACTAGTAAAAGAATGCCCTATCTGCATTGGTGAAACTGTTACTTGCTTAATGAGACTACTTGATTACATTCTTTCTCTTCTAATATTCTTTCTAATATTCTAATAGCTTTTTGCTATACATGATTTGCTTTGCAAGGTGAGTATGACTTTTGCTTCCAGAATACAGTCTTGGGTTTTGTTTTTGTTTTTTGTTTGGTTGATTGCTTTTTTGCTTTTTGCTAAGGTAACCTCCTGTTATTTTTACATAGTAAATGTGTTTTATTTATTCTTCCTGTTTATCTTCTCTCCTTTTTATGTGTGTTGTTGAAGACAGTATTTTCTTCTGTGTCAACTGAACAAATCTCTGCAAGTAGCAGTTATCCTCTGAAGTATTACTTCACACTCATCAAATTGGCAGGGGTTGTAAAAGGGGGAAAAAAAGTCAATGTTGGAGGGGCTGTGGGAAGATACACAATAATTCTCTGCTGGCAGAACTATAAATGGTTCATTCTTTTTGGGAAACATTTTAGAATAATGTAAATAAAGTTACTTTGATCCCACAAACCCAGGAAAGAAAGAAGGAAGGAAGGAAAAAAGAAAGAAAGAAAGAAAGAAAGAAAGAAAGAAAGAAAGAAAGAAAGAAAGAAAGAGAAAGAAAGAAAGAAGGAAAGAAAGAAAGAAAGAAGGAAAGAAGGAAAGAAGGAAGGAAGAAAGAAAATGAGCACTTATTAAATGTTTATTATGTGCTAGGCATTTAAAAATATTAGCTCATATCCTCACAGCAACTTGGGAGGAAGGTACAATTATTATTTCCATTTTATGGTTGAGGAAACTGAGGCAAAGAGAGTCCAAGTCACTTGCCTGTGATCACACAGCTAGAAAATGTCAAATAGCAGATTTGAATTCCGGTTTTCCTGATTCTAGGTCCATTGCTCTATCCATTGTCTCACTTAGGTGCCTTACTACTATTAACCACAACTGGGTTAATGTTCTATTGAGGTTAGGAAGAGACAAAAAGGTCCAATATATGCTGAGATATTGATAACAGAAATATTTATAATAGCAAAAAGGTGGAAACAAGTTATGTAAATAAGGGAATGGCTAAACAATTCATGGTATGTGAGTATAATATAATATTATTTTGCTGTTAGGAATGATGAATATGAGAAATTCAGAGACCCAGAAAAATTTGCATGAAGTGATACAAAGAGTAGAAAATCAAATCAAAAGAAAAACATGCACAATGCCTATAATAAGATAAGTGAAAAAAACAAAAAAGTCAATAGGAGAGAAAAAAAGGAAAGATAAGAAAAGATAAAAAATCAAAAGGAAGAGAAAAGAAAGAGGGCAATTGAAATATCTCTTTCAAAAACTGAAGAGAAGAGAACAGAAAGTAGGCCAGAAAGAAGCATAGACAATCAGGATAGCTTTGAAATCTACAAGAAGAACAACTTAATAAATACTAGAAAGAAAACCAAAGGTGTACACAGTAGAGATCCACAGTTTCATATATAATCCTTTTCCCCCCAGTTTTATTTGCTGTTTAAGTAGAATTTAAAAAAAGGATCTACTTGTAATCAGTGAAGATGCAAAGAAAACCCTAAAAATGGGGTTGAAGGTGAGAGGTGGAATCTTTATTTTTTAGTCAATGAGCATTTATCAAATAGGCCAATTATCATTTTAAACAAGGTCTGAAAACTATGATTTGCACTTATTTTTCAAAAATTTCATTTTAGTTTTATCATGTTGCTTTCCTCTTATGCCCCACAGACTCTTTTATGTTTACAGCATATCTATAGCCTTCTTTTCTTTTTCTTATGTATATTTCTCCCTTCAGGATACTAAAGGCTTATGTTTTGTGACATACAATAATTCCACTTTCCTTTTTTTATGTATTCTCTTCCTATCTGTAATATAGTACTCTCTGGCCCTAAGGGATGCTCTATAGCAAACTACTAGTAGTCCCCAGGCTCTGCTCATGGGGAAATAGACTTTAGAAATCCACAGTAAATAGACGGGCATATCAGCACACATCTTAAAAGTCAAGAGAAATGATGTCTGTAGGCTAAATTCAACGATATCCTAACCCTGTCACCAGACTTGTTATAAAGAAGACAAGATAGATAGTCTAAGCTTATTTTAATAAGCTTGACGGATTTTTTTAAAAAAATCATACTCCATAGTTAAGAGCTTGTATTTATATACAGTGCTGTGGTTTTTTGAGCTATTTTCTGCCCTGAAGGGATGTAGAGATGAGTGATGATTAGCCTTGTACTTGAAGAAGGGAGCCAGTAAGATGAGTTGCCTTTGTCAAGATTTTAGGCGACACCCTGTTTCCCGGAGTTAAAGCTCAGCAAGCAAGCTGTGCCCTGAGCTTGGCATAACAACAATCCTTTGTGCATACCCTCTGGAACTAATGGTCCCTGAGCTCAGGCAAGCATCAGCAGGCCCAGACATGCAGTAGACAACCTTACCTCACTGTTGCTATTGTGCCTCACTACTGTTGCTACACTACACTGTTTGACTCTTTGTCTAGGCACAAGAATATAAATCAAGGTTCAGCCACACTCAACAGGTTCCCCCACTAGGGCTGGGGCCCTGGCACATGTGTCTCATCTGCCTCCTTGCTTGCAAGCCATTTCCCTCACTTTAAAATCAAGCTTCTGTTTGGTTCCTGACTCTCCTGTCTCTAGCCTGCTCTGTTCAGCTTGGGCCATCCACAGGTGAGAGGCCAGTTTGGTCCAGCTGACACCTTTAAGTCTCTATTAACCTGTTTGCTATATGGCTTGTCAAGAAACTTAGAGGGCATGGAGTAGCATGCCATGTTTTCTTTTCCCCCCAGAGAAGTCCCATGTTACTTATTTATTCAGGATGCTATTATCTCATTTGATTCTCACAACAACCCTGGGAGGTGGAGGCTGGTATTATCCCTATTTTACAGTTGAGGAAACTGAGGCAGACAGGGGTTAAGTAAATTGCCCGGGGTCACACAGTTAGTAGTGACAGAAACAGGGATTTGAACTTGAGTCTTACTGATGTCTTCTGGCCCTCTACCCACTGCACCATCTAGCTCCTTCTAGGTTCAATGGGTTCAGCAATGGTAGACTGGACAGCTGCAGTGTTCCCATCCATTAGACAGGGTGTGTATGGAGAACAAATGACAGAGAACGTTGGCTGCAGTCTAGTTAGCCAAAGTGAGGCAGCTGAGTAGCTCTACGCTGGAACACCGAGCACACTGAAGCACATCCTCAAAGACTGGCTCTTAGCTGTGTACTTCTGCACAACTAGAGGCGGTAAGACCAGACAAGTGCTCAGGCATCTTATAATGGGCAGGCTTTTTTTTTTTGTAAGCGGAAACAGGACTTGAATATTTCCCATATTGGCTGGGAATGGGGATGATAATCAAGTTCATAACCTCATTATACCATAACAATACCTTTTGGAGATGAAGACATTCATGCACATTTAGCAATTTTGTAAAACTTGGCAATAAATTCAAATATCCAATATGGTTTCACTACTGAGATGCTTAGCTGATCACAGAAGAGCTATCAGGCTTCATGACAACATATAAGGAGACACCTTAATTTCTTCAGTAAGGTACTCTAATCAAGAACTAATTCAATGTTGTAGCGTGGTTCCATGTATGGATTCTTTTACTCACTAGGTTCTTAGATTTGGTGGTTTATTTTACTTTGGGAAGTGAATCGCTTTACAATTGATCACAATTCTAAGCATGGTTAAGAAAAGTAGTTTTAATTAGCTTTATTTCTATCTATTTCTTCTATTACTTTTAAGACCTTTTCTCCTCCAGAGACCCCAAATGGTTCAAATGGTTCTTTCTGAAATGCCAGTTTTAGCAACAACTGGAAAAGCGCAGTTTAGGGGCTAATAAACATCCAGTTTTCCAATACAGTTCTGTAGAGAGTAATTAAGTTTTATACCCCTGGAGGATAGTGTTTGAAGAGAATGAAAAATGAAGATTCAAGACAGAGCACATTACATGAATGAAGAAGGAAGTCTAATGCGGGGAGTCAAGTAGAGAAGTTACCCTATGGAAGTTAAGTATATGTGTATGTATATGTGTGTATATATACACATATGTGTGTATGTATATGTGGATACACATGTATACATGCATGTATTAAATATATTTATATGTGTGTTGATATTTGGGTGTATAAAATATAAATATATAATATATTTATATATACTTATATATGTATATCATATGTATATATAAATTATATATGTGGATGTGTGTGCATTTATATACACACACATCCACATATATGCACTATATATACACATATACATATACACAATATATGCACACATACATGTACCTTAAAACATTACGTAAATGCTAGCCATCATTATCATTATAATTATTATTCCTAGGTACTGGGGATACAGAGACAGAAATAAAAATTTCCCTTACCCTCAAAGATCTTAGATTATTGTGGGAGAAAAAATATGTACACATCTAAGTATATGCAAAATATATTAAAAATAAATCAAAGAACATTTTTATTGTGGAACAGGGCAAACACTAGTACATACACATATATACACATACATACTTACATATAGATACATGCATATGTGTATATAATGTATTATATATGAAGGGGCAGCTAGGTGGTGAAGTGGATAAAGTGCTAGGCCTGGAGTCAGGAAGACTTCTCCTCCTGAGTTCATCTTGGTCCTGTGTTAACCCTGGGCAAGACACTTAATCCTGTTTGCCTCAGTTTTCTCATCTGTAAAATGAGCTAGAGAGGAAAAGGGCAAACCACTCCAGTGTCTTTGCCAAAGAAACCCCAAATGGACTTATGAAGAGTCAGACGCAACAAATGCGCACATGCTCATATACACATTAATATACACATACATGTATATACACAACTATACATGTGTATACATCTACACACACTTAACTTCCTCAGGGCATACACACACATATACAGCTTCCTCGGGGCAACAACTATGGAATATATATGAATATATACACATAAGTATATGTGTGTACATACATATGCATATGTGTGTGTCTCATATTATATATGACATGCATATAATTATCACCAAATCTTACAATTAATTCATTAAATTAGGTTACTTTTGCTTTAAGAAACATTACCTGAATCTCAGGGTATAGGGGGAGGGGAGAAGTCATGGAAACAGCTCTATGAAGGTGGATGAAGCCAATCAGAGATGGGGTGGAGGGGGGAGGTTAGTCCTAACTTGCCTCAGGTACAAGGACACAGGATGACATTTTAAAGTAATAAGCTTAGGCAGGGAAGAATACTCAGCAACTAAGAGCAATAAATATTTACAATGAATTTGGGTTCCCGCAGTGAACAAGCCCAGTACATGTTTAGCTGGGGGATAGAATCAATCTTCCGTTGGAACACAGGTGCTACAATTCAATCCTTGAATAATTCACCCTCCAAATGCCAGGTCAAACTGCTATCCATATATTACACATATTTAATAAATACTTACTAACCCAACAGACTGTATACTGAATACCTGTTGGATTTGGAGTGAGGAAGCCCTGTGTTCAAATCCTGCATCAGATACCTTCATAAATATGTGACTGACCTTGGTCACACCTCTTTAGGCTTATCTTTCCTCGCCTGTAAAACAGGGTTGATAATAACACCTGCTTCACAGGATTGTTGTGAAAATCAAACTAGATAACGTAAGTAAAACATTTTGTATACCCTAGGGCACCATGTAAGTGTTAGCTATTACTATTATTACTCCTAGATTATTGATCTTGTCAGTCATTCAGTTGTGTCCAACTCTTTGTGACCGCATGGACCACAGCGCACCAGGCCGTTCCATCCTTCACTGTCTCTTGAAGTCTGTCCAAGCTCATGTTCATTGCTTTCATGATGCTATCTACTCTTCTTATCCTCCACCATTGCTGTCTCCTTTTGCCTTCGATCTTTCCCAACATCAGGCTCTTTTCCAATGGCCATTTTTATTGCATTATTGTCTGTAAAGGAAGTATTAACTATTTCTTCCTTTTTATATGTGTTTGCAATATCTTTATGCTTTAACACATGGACATCTTCTTGTAAAAGTTCCATGTTGCTGAAAAATATGTATATCATTTTGTAGTTTCATGTAGGAGATGCCACAAATTTACTTCAGTGCTCTAGAAATTTGTTCAGTTTCGTATTTTCCTTTTTCTTTATCTTTCTGTTAGAATACCTGTGCAATACAGAGCAAATTGCTTTCTCTTTCTGGGCTTCAGTCTTCTAATTTTAAACTAAAGGAGTTGAACACCATGACCTCTAAAGTCCTTTCCCACTGTAAATCTGTGATGCTATGAAATGGTTTAACTAGTATGATAGTCATAACCCATCCCTCTCCAAGGGGGAAAAGAACATAGCTCCAAGCTACCCCATATTTCCATCTCCACTGACTTTCATTGTTTGAATATTACCACCTTCATCTATCAATAGATCAACCAAAAGTGCTAAGGATACAATACAAATGAAATAGAATCTGCCCTTGAGGAGCTTGCATTAGTCATCATCAATTTTATTGCTTTAAAGATCTCTAATTTCATCAGCATGGGTTCTTGTTTTACCACTACAAATTCAGTCCCTTCATACCTTAGAAGAAAGTCTTTGTGAGTTTCTCTGACCCAAAAAAACCCCTCTAGTTTTCCTGAACCCTAATCAAAACCTTTTTGTCTTGGCAGGACCTATCAGAACTTGAATTCTAGGAGCACATCCTTCAAAGAACCCAGGGCTACCTCTAAACCATTCTGGGATTTCATTGACAGAAGATTTCACTGTGAGGAAATCAAAAGTAGCTCCTCCTCAGGAATGACAATAGGGAGCCATAACAAATTGAGCTTATATACACACAGCAGCAACTTTGTGAGTCATCTTTTGTAAATGAGCCCTTTAGGGAGAAGTAAAGTAAGTACATATGCCTCAACATCACTAACACGGTTGAAGTGACAATTCTTGAAATGACAGTTCCTCAACCTGTGAGAAGAAAATGATGACTTTGCTTAGCAGGAGAAGAAAGAACTGAGCAGCTAATGTTTTCAAAATAATGCTTCCAAATATCCCCTTAATAGCTGACTATTACAAGTGAAGTTGTTTGCAGTTTAGTCCAACATGAGATTATCACATTAACTCCCACTACATGGTGATTGTTACCATGGTTACCTTTCCTGAGCTGGAAAAGTACAGCTGTTCCCATCCATCCCTCATGAGAGCATCAGGAACAGAAGGTAACCAAACACCCATGCTTGTCTCTATCTAAAAATGTCATGAATTAGTAGCAATAGTGAAAATTGTTGTGAGAATGTTCTAGTACTTTATCATTTGGCTTCATCTTTTTTGTAACTGATGGATGTTGGTATAGATAACAGCAAGGCTTGGATCCTCACAGTTGATCTCTCTCTCTACACACACACACACACACACACACACACACACACACACACATTCTTCTTTAAATTGGAATCCTTTGCATCAGGCTTCTAAAAGTTTAAATTCTTAACTGGCTGATAACAGCTTCTGTTTTACGGGCATCTTCAGGGAAGGGAAATTTCCTTTCTGTGACATGCTGTCCTACCCTGAGACAGAACTGACAAAAGGAATCAGCTCTGTATGGAATGGAGCTGACAGCCCTGGTATAATGTCCATCAAAAGGCATGTAAATGACAGCAACTTGAGAATTTGAGGACAATTAGACTCTTTGAAGTGTGTGTTGGGTTCAATTCATATTCTCTGTGATTGTGAAGGGAAAATAGAATCCAAGTTGTAAGTTTTAATGATGATACCAACATGAATAGGGCCATTGCGCTATCATGGGGCTCACGTTGAGACCCAAACCTCTTAATTTAGCAATTTGGGATCTATCTGGCAAGTTAACACTTCGTCACAAATAGTGATTGGTTTTAATTTTTTGTTTTTAGCGGCTGGTTTTATTTGGGTTTGTAACATTGGTCTTGGTGATGAAACCTACAGATGGCTAATTGAACCTGAAAAGCATGTTTTCAGATCAAAGGGTTAAGCAAGACTTTGAATGTTTCCCCCTTCTAAATGAGCGTTTGAATAAATAGCACAAATGTCTAAACTCCCAGGTATCCCTCAAGGCTATTTAAAGAAAGATGCTCCATGCCCAGGTGCTGAAGAACACCACCAGAAAGGACAGAATATTTGTCAGTTACCATGCTTCACCTGGACATATTTTGGGTACTCACACTGGGAATGATATAGCTGTTGGGACTGCAGCTACTCCAAAGAAATTATCTTCAGGGAGAAGGAAGAAAGTGTTAGAAATAAGAAAGCTGAACCCCTCGAGTGTGCTCCTGTGCTCGGCCTGGTCTAGAAACTAGTACACATTAAGTACTTTACATCGTTAAGAAGAGAATACTTTGAGCTATTTAAGATACTATGACAATGATTAATAATAACAATAATTGCTAGTATTTAAATAGAACTTTAAAGCACTTTATATATTATCTCATTTAATCCTCACAAAACTCTGAGATGGGTGCCATTAGATTGTGAGCTCCTGCATTAGATTGTAAGCTCTTTGAAGGAAGGAACTGTCTTTTTCCTCTTTTGAATCCCTACTGCTTAGGACACTGCCTGGCATATAGTAGGCACTTAATAAATTTCTATTAATAGATTGTTATTATCCCCATTTTACAGATGAGGAAACTGAGGCACAGAGAGCTTAAGCAACTTACTCAAGGTCACAGAGATAATAAGCATCTCAGACAGAATTTAAACTCAGGTCTTCCTGACTCCAGGTCCAATACTCTATCCACTGCTCTATCAAGCTGCTCCAAAACACTATTACCTCTATGTAACAGAAAAACTATAAAATACAGGCTATTCCAGGCGAAAGGTACCCTGGAATAGAGAGCAGACAACCAATGTTGACCTCAGTTCAGGTACTATGTTTGAAACATACTAGCTGATTGATCCCAATCAAGTCATTTAACTTTTTAGTACCCTAGAAGCTCTCCAAGACACTAAATTTCAAAAAAGTTGCCCATTGGCATTGAACCAGCAAGTTTTCTTTTCAGGAGTTTCCTGCACCAAAGAAATCATAGCTCCAGAGCACCTTTTCCTTTGCCTCCCAAAATCTATGTACTATATATTATTGTCCCAGATGAATATTAGTTATTTACCATACAGGCTTGTCACTGTAAGTGGTCAGGCCAAAAAGCATATATACATCAAGTCCCTTTTATGTGCCAGACACTATGTTAAGCAAGGAAAGAAGCAAACCATCTTCAAGTCTGCCAAGGGCATATATTACCTTCTGCAGAATATACTGGGGCCTTCTTTTGGGGAATGGAAAGGGAATGAGCATTTATTAAATACCTACTATGTTCCAGACACTATGATAAGCATTTTTACCAACATTATCCTCTAATATTTTATGCAACATTTTCTATTACTTTATGATTTCTTTTGACAAAAATATGGCATAAAATTTGCATTGTCAGCTAAGTGCCTCCTATGGCACCTAGCTGACAATAACTAGTAATATATATAAACTGGTGCAAACCTTTATCCACTATAATTGGTCTGACCTTTCCAGGTGAGTAGTGTTTCCCCTGAATTGTTTGGCTTTCTACGGATTTACAAGTTTGCTACTGTCTGCTAATTAGTTAGGGCATGTTTATTTTTGAGTGTATGGACCTTCAGGACAAAATGTACTACAATATGGTGCTCAGTCAAGGACAGAAAGATTGCCAGTGGTGTTTATGATGTCCCCAGTTTTAACATGTTGTTCAAAGAAGTCATTGGGCAAATCATTCATTTCTCCATGTTTCCCTATTGAATAAATTATTGAGCATCTATGTCAAATGTTGAATTTTGGGTAAAATAATATTAGCACCTGCCTCATAGGGTTATTGTGCTGTTTAAAAGCTAATTCCCAGCATTGTTGTTATTACTGAACCTTACATAGCTATAAGTATTCTCTTCTTAATAATGCAAAGCACTTAATATGCACTGGTTTCAAGACTAGGCTGTGAACACCCAAGAGGGTCAACTTTCTTATTTCTAAGACTTTCTACTTTCGAAGAATGCACACTCTTTAATAAAGAGCTAAGATCCTTGTCTGAAAAGGTGCAGAATGAAAGGTAACTTGCAAGGTCTACAACTATATGACTCTTGTTTGCCACATTTTGGACAGTACAGCACATCCACATTCTTTTCCATGTATTATAGGCATTATTTGAAAAGTTTGTTTGCAATTCCCCTTCCCCCCCACCCCATTTCAAAGAACAAAATGTAAAGAAACTTTTTATTTATTCATTTATTTTTACTTAATTCTCATTTGGATAAAAATCACCTTAAGAGATTCTTTGAGAGCTATTGAAGATTGTTGGACCAAACCTCTGATTTTTTCAGCTTGAGGAGTCCTTAATGCAAGAATACACACTACCTATGTGAATCAGCAACTGTTCTGCAATATATAGTCTTGGAGAATAACTTAGGGCAATGGGAACTTAAGTAACTTGCCCAAGGTCACATATCCACTATCGTGACTACATGTCAGATATGGGACTGGAACCCAGGACTTCCTGACTCTGCTGGCTGGTTCTCTGTCCAGTATAACCTCTCATTTAAAGCTCTTAAGTGAAAGTTATTTGTTATGGACTCAATTCGGATTTCCTAGCATTTGTTTTTAATCAACATTTAGATAGCACCTACTTTGTACCAGGTACAGTGCTAAGGGCTTTTTATAAATATTATTTCATTTGATCCTCCCAACAACTCTGAAAGGAAGGTACCATTATTATTCCCATTTATAGGTGTGGGAAACTGAGGCAAACAGAGGTGGAGTAATTTGCCCAGGGTCACACAGCTAGTAAGTGTCTGAAATTGGATTTTAGCTTAGGTCTCCCTGACTCCAGACTCAATGTTCCAGCCACTGTGGCACCTAGCTCTCTAGGATTGATGGGAAGTGAGGGGAAAATCAAGTAAGGGAAGTAAATTGAAGGAGATAATACTTTTGCTTTTAATAAATATGTGTGGGGATGGTCAGGACAAGAGAGACAAAGTCTTTAATTCAGCTCACTCTTAAAACTTTCTTCCCAAGCCTATTTCCTTGGCATTTTTTCTTACAGAATTTAAAAAATAACATGGAGATACTGGGAATGTCATTTCAGCAAATCTTTATTAAGCACTTACTACATTCAAAGCCCAATGCTAGGAAGAGGAGCAAGGACATCATAATTTGTTCATAGACAACTTCCCCCCTTAGTCTCACCTGGGGGTAGGGAGGAGAATGAGATTGGACCTGGGATTTGTTCTTGCAGAATAATCTTGGACATTGAAACTCCTTATCTAGGCAGCTGGTCTGTTAACTATAATCTTAGAGACTTACCTGAGGGTCTGAGAATAAAACGATTTACCCCTAATCACACAGCTTAAGTAAGTACAAAAGGCAGAACTTAAATAAACTGACCCCAAGATCGGTCTTCTATCCACTAGGTCAGGCTGCCTTTTATATCTTATGACATGACTTTGAATTGGGGTCTGTCTTGAGAATATAGTAAGTAAATTAAATTAGAAAGACAAATGAGAAAATAAGTGGATTAGATTTAGTTGATGAATAAGGTGCCTTTAAGCTTTGGAATTCTGTGATTCTGAGGTTACTTGTAGAAAAGACTAAATCCATACCATTTAGACATCTTTTTTGTTTTTGCTTAATAAAGACAAAATTTGGGGAGAAAGGAGTAGAGAATTGTGGTTTAATCCTTTCCTGTTCTTCCACAAAGCTAGAATTTCCCTTCATTACATAGAGGGGCAGAGCCAAGATGGCAGAGTAAAAGCAGTGACTTGCTTGAACTCTCCCCTAAACCCCTCCAAATACCTATAAAAATGGCTCTAAACAAATTCTAAAGCGACAGAACCCACAAAAAGACAGAGTGAAACAAATTTCCAGGCCAAGACAACCTGGGTGGTTGATTGGAAAGGTGTATTTTGCCAAGCTGCGAGTGGAGTACAGTTTGGTGCAGGCACGCAGGCAAGGCAGGCCTGAGTGAACCTAGAGCAGCCTTCAGAGGACTGAAGCACAGGCAGCAGTGGTGGTTCCCAGACTTCTCAACCCATGAACGCCAAAGACAACTTAGAAGGTCAGTGGGAAAAGTCTGTGAGTGCGGTGAGAGAGAGAAGCGCAGTCACAGCCCCAGTCCCCAAGCTCGGCCTCATAGCAACAGCTGCTTCCTGAGCTTTGGGCCCACAGACTGAGGGT